GCCGCGCCCTACAACCCTCTCCCTCCCCCTCCCTTGCACCATGCGCCTCCTCGCCCCTCCGCAAGCGTCAGGATAAATTGAACCTGGACAGAGTACACAGTGTGTTTGAGTTTCATCACACCACGCCAACGCCAGGCCATCCGCGGCGCGACCAACTCCTCCAACAGAGACGAACCCGCAGAGAGCCCCCGCCGTTCTTGTAAATGCCCAAATCTAAATTAAAATTAACTGTCTATACTCCAAACCAACAGGGCTGTTCATTTCCATGGCATGCTATAGCTAGCGTAAATTTGTACACTGGGCCTTGCGAAACAGGCACGCATTTTCTTTGAAATTTTTGAGAGGTGGTCACCGCCATTCAGGTGGTCCAGCGCGGGGCCGAGGGGGAGGGAAGGACCACATCGGAATACAGTATCGGCCCCGTTATCTGTCGACAGGAGGGTGCGGGTGGGTCTGAGTACGCCCCGCTTGTCTATAATCTGTCTGTCGGGACGTGTCTGCCTGCCCATTCCCACCCGCCCGCGCGAGTTCTGTCCGCGCCATTTATGAACAAAAGACCGTGCGGGGGAGGGAAGAGGGGGGGCCTCCAACGGCGCGAGCTCGCGCGAGTGTTCGGGAGCGGCCGTCTCCCTCGCGCCCGCGGGGACGCTGCGCACGCCGCCCGGAGGACGAGGACGGAGAGAGTCATTGGCGAGAGCGCACAGAGGCAGGCTCTTCTGTTGTCAGCCGCCGCAATCACGGGCGTGATTAAGTCTTGGCGATCTACATCCCATACACACCCCCCATCTCACGCACTTCACTCAGCCTGCTCGCACGCGCGCACGCGCACAGACACAGCAATACACAGTGGGAACACGGGGGACTCGTTCCCATTCATTGATTCATTCATTCATCCGACTCTTTCTTTCATTCGCCGGCAGCCAGCGAATCTGAAACCGGAAACGGTTACCTTTCTTTGTTTGTACAGGCCGGCGCTTGAATGTTTGAACTTTGCAAGAGTCGAGTCTAAACGGTGTCGAAAAAATTGCATTCCCCTTTTTGTGAACGGCAAGGACAAGTCGCACTAACGCCTGGCTGTCGTTAGCAAAATCTTCTAATGTGATAGGAGTTTCATCAGTTGGTAGCACTGAAAGGAAAACTTCTTTCCGTTTCGTCATGCGACAGTCACCTGTTGGACGGGCTACACAGTGGACGTGTTGCAACATGTTCCGTGCAGGGTTTTGGACACATTTCTGAATATTGTTAACAGATTTTCTGATTTTCTACTGATGAAACGTGTAGAGTTCAAGTGTTTATCTTTGCCATCGTAAGTTGAAAAGTGCCAATTATCTTGTGTGTTGGAATCATCTCGAAGCCAACGAGCAAGCTACGACCGTGGATTAAAACAAACAAACGAGGCGATAAGTTCGAACTTAAAAGTTTCATATTTTGGCGTGTGTTGTTGTGTGTTACTTATCCGTGTGCTGCGAGGCGAAATTGTAATAAGACGTTAGACAGTATTAGCATTGAGGTTAGTTGGCCTCTCCACACAGTGCTAGATTTTGTTGAATGAGATTCAACCCCAAGAATGTTCTAGTTGTGCATGAGTGCTTTCACTAAATAGCGTAAACACCTGTGACGTTTCATTATCTGCCTTTTTAGCACGAGTTTGCCTGTTTGTTTTCTCTTATCATGCGTACTTATTGCATTTATTTCATTGTGGTTCTAGGCACATGTCCGTGTGTGAGCCGCCTCGCGGGGGTTGCTGGAACCAGGCACAGAGCTGCATTTCTTCACACAGCCCCTAGATTCCCTACGAGGATTGCATCTTACAATGTCAGTAAGTTGTTAACGTTGAATTGTAGATTTGGAGCGACTCATATGTCTACGCCTTTTTGTAACTCTTGGTGAGATTAATTCTGTGTTTTGAGTCAAAGCATCTATATTTTCATTGCAATTTCTTTAAGACGGCTAGTGTGGTTGTGCCTTGTGGAGGTTGGTCAATCCTTCAAAGTGTCTCCGCATTGTGGCGGTCACAATTCTTTTAAAATTTGTTATCTTCTGCAAGGTTTGTGTGCTTATCTGTTCCCTTAGGTCCTGCACAGTTCAACAAGCTGGGCTTGGCGGAGATGGTGCACCGGCGTTCCCGGATGCCCCGGATGCGCATGGGGGGCTTCCTCTCCAGCGCCGTCAAGGAGACCTGCCCGCTGCCCCGCGACTCCCTGCGCCAGCCCGGTCCCGCCCACTACCACGTCGAGGCGGACAAGGTGAGTTGAGGTTGGAAGAAACTGCAACGGAGGCTTGACGTCTGGTTTGTCCGGCTGTTTTTTCAACTTTAGTGTTACTTACTTCTGAGCAGCGCAAGAGGCTTGGAGAGGCCCCCACCCCGGCGAATGCTGCGCTGAGAGCGAGGTCCTCCCGCGGCAAGGCGCTTCCCCCGGTGAGTCAAGTCGTACCTGGGGCTTAACCCCCCTCCCCTCCCTTTCCTATTCCCGCCTCGTCGGGGCGCCGCAAACAAGCGTAGAGAAACTAGAGAGGAACTCGACAAGCGGATTCATTCTAACTTCATTGGGAACGTATCACCGGGACCGGAGGGACGGGGCGCGCGGGGGCGGTCGTACAAAGCAGCACCACGCCGCGCCACCGCAGCGCCAAGCCGACGTCGCCTTCCTCCCCCTCCCGTCCTTTTGTTTTGGACACGGGGGAATTCCTGACGTCGGATCTGAGGTGCGCCAAACTATTTGAATCCTTTTCGACCCACAAGTCAACGCCCAGGGGCGGAGGACGCGGGGGCGGGGGGCGCGAGTCCCTCCTATCCTCGGCGGCCGGCGGCCCCTGTCCGGGCGGGGCTGGCGGGGCTGGCGGGGCTGGCGGGGCTGGCGGGGCTGGCGGGGC